ATTGTGGCTCAGTATTCGTGCTGTGGATTCAGTTATTTTAGATGCCTTTCTGGATTGATTGACAAAAAAAAAGTTGATGGGGTTTGAATTCGTTTTCTGAAATAGTGGAATAATTTGAACAGAAAATATCTGCTACATTAGGATATTTTAATGTTTAGGGTGGTTTTTTTTCCATATTTATTGCAGCTGGGGCTTAGCCATCTATATTCTATGGATAGTTGCTTCCCTATAAGGCTGTAACTCTGTTCTCAGAAAAATGTTACGGCATTTGAAGATGCATTATGTGATAGTGCATCATCTAGCTCTTCCCTATTACCAGTGCAGTCACTTACAAAGAACTAGATACTAGTGCTGGGCTGCTGGCTGCGGTCTTGTTAAGGGTGAGATCATCTATGACCCTGATTCTTTCCTTCAGACAGAAGTGTTCCAATTCAGACACGTACAGAAAAATTTCTCAGGTAAAATACCGCGGTGCGGAGTCAGACAGAATAATGATCATGCTGATTCGTGTAACTTAATGGGGTGTGGGGGGAAATCTTGATTAATCTTTGGCTGGAGGAATAAGGTAAGCTTTTTTTGATGTTGTGACCTGAAAAAAGGAAAGGAAAAAATATTAAAGCTGCAAGGCTTGAAAAGCCATCTCTCTAGATGAAAATCTGTCTCTACCCTAGGAGGACTGTGTTAATTTTGGATTGATTATGAAGATATATTTTTTCAGCTTCAGGGTACTATGGCCTTTCTACATGTATTTTTCTTAATTTTGGGATAGATGGGGAAGAAGCAGTCATAAGATATTTAACTCCTAATGACTAATTTTTCTTAAAGGAACTCCCCAGCTGGATTCTTGATCTTTCGTCCCACACTGGAGTTGCTCGGGGAGTTACTAGGTTTCAGGATGGATATTGAAGTCCTGAGCTGCTTTGTGTTTAAATTCAGAGAAATAAATTTTCAACTACATCTGAAGGGTGCAATGTTTATTTCCAAAAGTGTGTTCAAAATAGTTTTCCTAAAATGTGGTACCTCCACTTGAGGTGGATGCTCTACAGACACCTAATTTTTGTGACTGTAGCCATGTACTGCATGAGATGCAACAGGAGTCAGAGGGGAAGACTTGTTGAGAGGTATCTCCAAGTGTGGAGCATTGAGTTTGGGGGAAAGAGAAGATCAAGTGAGTGCAAAAAGTAGTAAAGTGTGGCCTTTCTCATCAGTGAGCATTTGTTGTCTTTCAGAATGCATTGTGCCTGGTGAGAGTAAATAGCAATAAAGAGCAATTGAGTGCTGCAAATTGGTCCATTGAATAATTCAGAATAGTTAAAAATGACATAATTGGCTTAAAGATGCCTAATCAACCCATCTAATGCCTCAGAGGTTCCCTGGGGCTTTATACTGAGGGATCGGGTGGGTTTTTCAATGTGGTCAGTGCTGCTGCTCGTCATCTGTTTATCTGGTGGAGGTTGCTCATGTTTGTAATGCTACTGCATGTGGCCTTTGGTTTTCTTATTGCCTCTCTGTTTCCAAATATTTGATTTGAACAAATGAGTCAAGAAAAATGTTAATTGCCCTTTGCACTAACTCCCAGGTTAGGTAAAAAAGCAACTGGGTTTGTAGAGGTGGTGGAGCTATGGATCTAGAGAATACTTTCAACCTGATCTTTTTAGATATATTTGCATGTATCTCAAAGCAGGGAATAGGTGACTCATCAGTTGGTGTAGGTGTGGGCTCCAGTACTATGTTTCCATTTGTGTTAATGACTTGGAGGAATCAATAGGAAGTTGTTGTATCCTCTTGAACACCTAAAGACTAGAAATAAAGCTAGAAAAGAAACTGCCGCTGCTCTGACGAGTTCCTAACTTGTTGCCCAAGGGAAATCAGTTGCAATGAAAAATCTTGATTCTGAATAATGTCAAAAAGGATGGCGAGGAGATAGCTTGCAAAATCAGAGCGGGCTGGAAATGCAGCTCAGCACTTGAGGAAATCCAGAAGTGGTTTTCCCTTGTAAAGACAGGCATTGCGCCGTATTATAAGCAATCAGTCCTTTAAATGGTTTTGATAACCATTGCAGGAGGAATATTCTGTTCATTTTGATGCATCTTAATTAAGGAGGCAGTGGGGAAATTTAGAGAAGCTGCCGTCAAGAATGGTAAAACTGGGGGGCAGAATAAAAGAGGGAGGAAAAAAAAAGGCTAAGTTTAGCCAGGCAAACCAGTATCTGCGGCTTTTATGGTCTGCAAGTTTCAAAAAGATGTAAGTACAAGAGGAAGAAGAGAAATGGCGGTTGTACAGGCTGATGTAACCACGAGTAATGTGGGGAGCGGGGGGGGCAAAGCAGGGGGGTTAGGTGCCGTTGGAATGACTCTTCCCCAATAAATCCTGGTCAGAAACATCATGCCCAAGAGGAGAGGCAGAAATCATCTCACTTGGGACCAATAAATTCAGGCTGCCCGGAGATGAGGGACATATATCTTAATGAACATTTCTTCCTGAGCAGGAGCAGGATGAGCTAATTGTCTTTGGTGCCCTCTGGTTTCCCTGGCTCGGATTCACATTTGTTGGATTTAAGTGTTGTTACAAGTAATTGGAGTTAGATATGCGGATCAGAGGAAGAAACGGGCTGTGTCGCTTATTAGCTAAAGGAATGAAGTAATTAAATTTGCCACTTTAAAGACACTTTCCTTCCCTGTCCTTAGAAAATACTGACCCTGCAGATTTTTGATGCCGAACTGTTCATTTTAATTTTGCAAGTGATGTTCTCCTTTGGGGCTTTGATAAACTGCTCTTGAAAATGTGTCTTTAGAAAAGGGAAAGGAAGGAAATGGCCTTTGCAAGGGGTAAGTTAAGTGCCTTGCTTTCTCTGTTCACCCTGTGTCTGCGCGAATGGGACATAGTATTGTATTTTTCCTTAAAGAAAAGGGGGGGTGACCCCAAACACCAGTTTTTAACAAGGGGTAACAAATTTTCCAATCTCAGAATATATATCAGTGTACCCTGGCAGGGAACATGGAGGAAGAAAGATGAGATGTGTAAATTGCTCTTTTTCTAGCATCTTGTAACTAGATTAGAGCTTTGTATAGTCCCCTATTTCCTCATAGAGGAAACAACTCTTTGGCTAGATTTTGGGGACTATAAGGAGAAATTGCATCCAGGCTTTCATGCAGTACATGCAGTTAAAGTGAATAAAATTGGATGCGTTATTTAAACGCTAGGAGGGTAGCTGGAAGGTGCTTAATATTGTTTCTCTCAAGGAAATGGGGAATTAATCACTGGAAATGATGGATGGATACAGAGGAGGCTTGTTGTATAAATCCCTTTAATTATATTGCATCATTGAAGAGATGATGAAGTTGGTGTTGGGGACAACTGGTCCACCTGAGTACATCTCAGCTAACACTGAAATAAGGAGGGATGGAGAGCAAAGGTCTCCCCATTGCAGCAGGCAGGAGAGGCAGGCTGGGTGGAGGCATCACTTCTGCTGCAGGGTTGTGTGAAATAGCCCACCACGTGCTGCTGGCGATTACCGTGGTTACAGGAGACATCATTTATGCATGTAGTGTTTGGAATATAAAGCCCGAATAATTGGCATGAGGAAATTGGAAATCCAGAGATAACGGCAGGACTGTATGTGCTATATATATCAAGTGGCTAGTGACAGGCTGTTCCTGCCATCGAGTTTAATGTTGTTATACATCTGTTGAAGGCACAAAGTGATTGGAAAAAGTGGTATCATCAACATGTTTGCTAAATCTTTTAGTGATAAAGTGCTACAGTTTATTATAGCAAGGGGAAAACACAATGTAAAAGTCTACTGGCCCTAAACTGAAGCTGTAACTAATGTACAAAATCCAGTCCAGTTAATTCTATATTAATTTCTTTTTGTCTGAGTGATTCCTCTTTGCACTCACCCTCTCACCCCCATCTGGGAGATGCCTTAATGCAGAAGGCTGGTTGCAGAAACTCATTACTTTTTGAGCATCTGCAAGAAATATTAAAAGTTGATTGCAACAGATGAGGTTAAAGGGGGATGAGCCTCATCAGTGATCCACATCCTGCTGCCAGATTTGGGTGGAGAAGAGCCTCATTTAAGATGACAACCTAAGCACTAGTTATAGCCTAAAGGATTCCCTAGAAATCCCAGCAAACACCAAAATTCCTGTAGGTGGTATGTATTTGAAAGTAGCAGAGCAAGATAAATTCTCATATTAGCTTAATTTGGAAAAAAATTGTGGCGCTATGTTGTGGCTTTAAATGGTGATGGGTTACAGAGCCCAAAATGGAAATGTGCCGAAATTCTTTGGTGGGGTGCAGGGGAAGGAGCGCAGTTTTGCTGTGATGGGTGGCTGTGAAGCAATGCTTTTGCAGTTATGGCTAAATAAACCATGACAACATAGACTAAATGCAATGAAAAATAAGGTACCATGCCGTCTCGGGTGCGTCCCAGCTGGTGAGCTCCAGCTTGTGTGTTATCTCAATGTCATAACTGGACTGAGACAGAGCTGGTAATGATTTGTTTTAAATTTGCACAGTGAGACAAGAACTGAGTCTGGAAGAGAATTACCCAAAGTTCAGGTCTGCTCCTCACCCACCAGCTGCTTCACAAAAGCACGGAGAGTGCTCTGCAGCGCCGGAGGAACGTCCTCTGGCCAAAGTGGTATTATGCTGTATGGAGCAGACTGGAGCTCTTGCTACAGCATCATTTTCTGTTGATTGTCATGAGAAATATCAGATGGTGTCTTGTTTTTGTGCTTTTTCTGTCTGTAAATGGAATAAACTTTGTTCAAGAAACATCTCCTCTGCCCAACCTCCTTGTAAAGACCTTTGGTAAAAGGAGCACCATGAAGCTCATAACTAGAGGTTCCTGAGAGCTGCATTTTCTTCTTAAAATTGCAAGAATTATGGAAAATTGTTTTTGGGTAGAGTCATTCTGAACTTGTGCCTTTTTTTATTGAGCTATTGTATCTTTGTTAACTAGTCTTTGTTTTTTATTGTGTGGTTTTTTTATGTAGCTCCCCAGAGGAATTTCGAAATCGCCTTTAAGATGTTTGATCTGAATGGTGACGGCGAGGTGGACATGGAAGAGTTTGAGCAGGCAAGTTGAATGACAGGTTGACTTCTTGATGCTACAGCATCTTAGTCATAAATGCAGCACTCCTCTGCGATGTTAGCGTGATTTATATTGGTGGTTACTGCTGGTTTACATCTTTTTCTTCTGTGCTCTACTGTGTTGCCTCAGTGCCTGTTTTTCTTTGGTTTTGTTTGGTTTTTTTTTCCTACTGAGTATTTCAAGACACAATTTTTCATTGAACCAGGACAACTGTGAGTATAAACTCTGAATTCCTGTGACTTTATCACCAAGGTATCTTTACAAGATGTTACCTCCAAAGTAAATAAAGAATTTTTTTCACTGTATTAGTGTCATAGCATTTTGATCCTACTTTCTTCCACAGCTTTTACTGCATTCCTTGATTTTGTTTGTCCTCAGAGAACCACCAAGGCAAGTCTGCTTCAAAGAATTTAGCCATTTATTTCAATGTAATCTAAACCTGTGTTTGTTGAGAGTGTATTTTCATTAGTTTCTTTCCCATACTTCTTACAAGGTTTCATCATCAGGGAGTTTGATGCAGGCTTTTTAAGGAGCTTAGCTGGCACATCTGATACTGGTGAGGTCCTCCTATAAGCTATGGTTTGTGACTGTGTTAGAGTGAGAATAGATTGAAGACTTGAGCTGTCAGTGGGGAAGAGATCTGACCTCCCGAGGCAGAAGTGTATGCTTTTCTTGCCTATGTAGAAAACAGCCTTAAGGCTTTGGAAACTCATAAACATCCTGAAGTCGCTGTATATTAGCAAAGCTTCATGTGTGTGCTACTCATGAAAGGAAAAGTAAATGCGTTTGTAAAGAAGGGAACTGGCCAGTTGGATGAGGAGTCACCACCTCTGTTATCAAAGTAGGTAGGTAGAGGAGATACACCACTTATCTACCTGTATCTACCACTATCTGTTCATGTGGCCCCTGGCACTTCTTCTGTGACCCCACATCCCTCGGGGCTGTACATTTAATGGGCAAGTGGAAGTTGCTCCTTCTGGGCAAAGGAAATGAAACTGTGGTCAAAAAAATAACGTGCCTTTGTGGGTTTTTTTTTATGCTGGAGGACATACGTGTTTGGAGATGGTGAAAAGCTGTGTACTGATATCCAAGAACAAAGCAGCCCTGAATAATCTCATTAAAAATTCTTACTTATCGGTTGGTTGAATGATTAGTTAACTTCAGAAGAGTCTGTAAAAGGTCATGCTTGGGGCACTTGCTATAAATGGGGAAAACTAGTGGCAAAGCAGGTCTGTAAAATTAATTCCCCCTTTCTAATCTTTTGCTGTCATCCTCTTTAAATTATTACCTGTGGGTGTGAAGTCATAATTATGAGTTTGCTCCAGAGCTGTGTAATATATCTGGTTAACTGTACATTTTAGATGCAAATTTTGGACTATTAGGAGAAAGGGAGTGTGTTTATCTCCAATATGATATCCCTTCACATGACAGTTTGTAATGTAAACCCAGGAGTTTATTCATTTTCCTTTGAGTGCAAATCTGAATCCACCACTGTGTCCAGGTTATTGTGCTGTTTGGAACTGCCTCCCTACAAACTACTGATTTAGCTATGAAAAATTCCAAGTTTCCTATGTTCCCAAGTAAAAAAATACTGCTCTGTCTTCTGTTTGCATAGTGCATGAATATAGCACTCCACGGCAGCTATCTGATAATATTTAACAAATCAAAAGATGTTCTACAGTAGTTACTAATGTTCTAGAGTGAAATCAGTTATGGAGATAAATTAGTTTAAGAAAAGTGGAGAACGGTTAACTGCCTACTTAAAAATGCATTGGCGCCAAGGTACTAATGCAGGTGTCATGTTTGGCTTTTTTATTAGACATGTAAAGTAAGAAAGAATATTTCTTGAGGATGAATGTTTCGGAAGCACTGTGAAGATGAAAGTACAAAATTGAATTAAATTATTTCAAATCATCTGTTAGGCTAAGGGAAGTTATATGTGCATTAAGTCATGTAAAAATCCTTAGGAAGAGGGACATATTTTTGTTAAGCTTGTTACATGCGTCACTGCCTCTATATAAAGGGATAAAATTCCTGGTTGGCATCACAGTATTTTGGTAAAGGCTGATCTTCCAGAGCTTTCGAGTCAGAGGATGAAGGAGCTGTTTTGTAAAGTGAGAAGAAGCTGACAATATCTTCGCAGATATCACCATAACTGATTTGCTGCACTTTGAACAGAATTAAAGCAAAGGCATAGCTTCAGTGGGGGGCACGTATATAACATTATACACGTTTAATATAACACACGCAATAATTTGAGATAAATACTCTTTTTCACTCCTTATGGAAATGCCTCAGTAAGTGCATGAAGGATGGCAGAGTTTGCAGATCTGTACCATAAATATCTTACCTGGCAGGGGAAGCTGGAACTGGCCCTTCCAGGGGAATATGCTACTAGAGGTGGCATCAGTTTAAAAGAGCAACATCATTTTGGGGAGAATGGGAAGAAAAAGAAGGGAAAGAAAAGGGTAATCACAGAAGCATCGTACCGTCCCCACTGGCTGTGAGCACAGGGGGAATAAATTTCTTACTTCTTTTTCACAAGTCGTCTTTGGAGACAGCCAACAGCAGGTCTCTTCTCATTAACGTCTGACAAACCTTAAGAGTATTCATCAAAGAAGAAAATTGCTTGTGGTAATTTAGCTAATGTGCGAGTAAGTCAGAGGCTTTAACTACCTAATACTGAATTTCTTCAGGCCTCACTGAAGAGCCTCAGATATTTTTTTCCAGTTGATGCATATGGCTAGTGCATAGCGCTAAATAGTTTGATGCCTGCCTCAGTATCATCTTCAACTTCTCATCCTTCACCATGTAAATTGTTAGTTTACCCTTCTATTTTTAATTAAAATGTCAGATGAGAAGTAGTAAACTCTCAAGCAGTGTTACTTGTGATTTCTCTTCAAACCATTACCTATTTTCATTGGGTTTTTTCTTTTTTTTTCTTGTCTGGTGCAAAACATGAAGCAGATCACAAACACTTAGGCTGAAATACGTACAAAAGACAGTGAAGCATCTCTGTGCTTCCCATCCTCGTATGATCGATGAGCTGTGGGGGAGGACAGCACTGGTTGGGCTGGAGGACAACTTCTTGCAGTGGTTGCCTGCCTTTCTGGGTATTAGAAGGATTACCCAAAATAGGGACCAGGCGAGTAATTTTGGCTCCAGTGCCCACAGATGGATTTTCAAACTGTCTGATACTTGTTATAGATGGGGAGAGAAGAGGGGTGTAGGATGCCGTATAAATAACACCCGGGAAAAGATGCTCTATTGAACAGCCTGCAGTGTGGTAAACACTTGCTTCTGCAGAAACAGAGGCCGTTTTCCAAGCTGGTCACAAACTGCATTGCTTCAGACAGTTTATAAATATTTGTCTCCAAAATGTGCATGCAGAGCTCGCAGTTAAAGTGGAGCACGAAGCAAAATAAGGAGTTGCTATTTACAGTGCAAAAATCCTTCCTCACATCACAGTGCATATTTCAAAGAAAAAAACCCCACACCTTTTTTCTGTATTTTTTGTTTTCTGACTTGACTTGGTTTTCTTTGTAGTGGAAGAATAGCCAGTAGTCTGGGGTTCAGAGGCAGCGTTTCAAGCGAGGCGAGCCCAGCAGCGATATGCAGCATTCTCCTCCGGAGCACCCCCTTTGGGCTTGTTCCAGAACTTACCCTCTTGTTAGGAAAAAATGGAACACGCTGTATACCACGATAATGAGGTTCTGGTGTCCTTTTGACAGCTGGAGCTGTTGGCAGCTGTTTTTCTTCCTCCCTTCCAACTTTTGTCGGCAGGAGGAAGAGGCTGAAGGCAAAGCAGCGATGTTTGCTGGAGCTTCGGGAAGCCTGTGCTGTCAAGGCTGAGTGCCAGGCAGCACGTCAGGTGGCTTTTTTTTTCCCCTGCTTTCTCACACTCGTCCTTAATATGAATCCTCTACCTTGTTGGAAGAGATCAGCTATTATGCAGAGAATAACCCTGGCTTCTCATGTCACTGCAATAGCCATTCAGATGGGCGTGTGCTGGGAAGGGGTAGTGGGATACTTGGGGATGGAGAGAGGAGGCGAGTGTGCCTTTGGCTTGGCTGCCCCCTTAAATTAGCACAGAACCCTTAAAATAACAAACCGTTAGATTTTTCAGGCTGCTGCATCCTTCAAGTTCAACCTTTTGCTATATTGTAGGGGGTAGGGAAGTTGTCCTGCACATCCTTGCCCTGTCCTGTAGCATCCACTTGCGTTGAGCGGTGCCTTCAAGAAGGTACAGGGCGCTGCTGAGAGCTCAGGGGAGGAGGAGGATGCTGTTTGCCTGCATGGTTTGTTAAAAACATTGAGATATTGGTGTTACATGTACTTTCACACTTGGCTGTCTTCGTGCAAATTTCCCAGTCTGCAGGTAACTCAGATACCTCTGCATTACTTGTTATTCTGCTGCCGCTGCTGCTTAGGTTGTATTTGGGTTGATGAAGCCTGTGGGACTTTTGGAGAGCCCTTTGCTCTGGGTGGGTCAGCCTGCGCCTGCAGCTCAGCTTCCCGCACAGCCCCAGGGACGGAGGAGCTTCCAGACGCAGCACAGAGTGGCAAGCAGCAAGGAGGGGGTGCCCTTGGGTAGAAATCCCCTGGTTTTGTGCACAAGGGGAAAGGAAACGCGATGTGAGCTAACTGGGGTTGGTGTGAATTAACAAGGATGGGAAGTAAAGTAAGAGCAGAAGCTCCAAAATGTGCGCAGGCTTTTTTCTTCCTCGCAGTTGCCTCGGCTTTCTCTCCTCCTGCGACTCCGCTGGGAACAAGCTGCTCTCTGCTGACCAGGCGTAGGATCAGTGCTAAAATGCTCATCTGTAAACTGGGTGAATTGTTTCTTAAAACTGGTTTTAAGCATTTTATACTCTTCTTTCTTTAAAGAGGACTGAAAAATCCAAAGCCTAAGTTCAGCCAAATTTTTGAATTGCCATGTCCTTTAAAGAATTATTTCAGGAAAAAAAAAAAAATTAGAGGATGACATGTCTGAGCCTGGAGCACTTTTGTACGGATACTTGACTAGTATAAGTGCCAGTGGTGTTTTTGATGCCAACATTCTCCCTTTTATTTTTAGGTCCAGAGCATCATTCGCTCCCAAACCAGCATGGGCATGCGCCACAGAGACCGGTCTACAACGGGGAACACCCTGAAAACTGGCTTCAACTCTGCACTGACAACATACTTCTTTGGGGCGGATCTGAAGGGGAAGCTGACCATCTCCCACTTCCTTGACTTCCAGCGCAAACTGCAGCACGATATTCTGAAGCTCGAGGTTTGGGTTACTTTTTACATATGGTGGAGAGGGCAGTGCAGCGTGGACAGTGCTGCATGACACGCTTTCTGGGGGAAGAGCAAGAGCATGGGAGGGATTTGGTGGGAATTACTACAGCTGTGGCTTGTAGCACTCAGGGATCAAACCTGTTGTTGAATTTCTGATGAGCATTCTGGTGCCTGTAGCATCCCCAGGAACATCTACAACTTTTGTTGGTAGCTGCTCTTGTGGATTTGCAGCAGCAGCCGGTACGTCCGGGGTGCGTGTCCCTCCATGTGTGGTGCTTGCCTTGGCAATGCCTTGACGCTGCCGATGGAGATGATTGAGATGCAGTCTGTTGCTACCTTCCCGAGGAAGGTTTGTCTCATTCCTAGTGAGCAAGCTGTGCCCTGAAGGACCAGGGTTCATAACCATCCTAAAGCTCTTCATCTCTGCTTTCGTCCCCACCTTCTCGTTTGCTTCACTATTCTGAATATTTTGGCTGTGTAAGTGTTCAAGCCTTGTGTGAATCCTGCTAAATAGGTGGTCTCTGTTATGTGACCTCCATTATTCACTCCTAGGTTAACGTGCATTATAAGAAATGTCCGTATATTCCGAGACTCTTACCCTTCAACTGAATTGAAGGCTTCCTTTTTTCTTTGCATTACCAACAGTTAACAGCACCTCCCAATCTCCTTCCTGCTAGTCACGTAGCCAGAATTTAAACATCAAGATACAAAATTTGGGTCTTTCGACTAAAGCGAGTACAAGAATAGCAATGGGGGACTCCTTGGTCTGTGTCTTAGCTCCCAAGTGAAGCTGACTCAAAAACAGTGCCCTTCTCTGGAGCAAGCTCAAGGGTTTGACCTGGCTTGAGCAAAGCCAGGCTTTTATTTGCATCAGAAATGGGGATTTTGTGCACAAGAAGATCCCCCCACAACCATAACCTGTTAAGACAAAAGTATTCAGAGCTCACTACTGTTTCAGTCTGATGCATGAATGTCTGCGTGCTCAGGTTGTGTGATCCAGCTAAAGGACAGCATTTTATTAAATTCCTATTAAGTCAGTCGTTGCGAACTTAACTTGAATTTATTCCCTTTTTTATTTGGGGTTTTACAAATCTAAGTAAGAAAGTGACCCAAGGACTAAATTTCTTTTTATTAAGGTAATTGTCCAGTTCACTGACTTCATTAAACTGGTCATTAAAGCAGGTGGTGTGGCTCTACATTTGCAGTGGGAATAAGTTGGTTGAAGAAAATGTTCTTCATGAATTGGAAAGTGTCGATTCCTCAGTGCCTCTACAAATTGAAAATGAATGCAATACTTGTTAAGGTTAAGAAACGTAAGCTGAAATTTGAATGCAAAGGGAAGAGAAATAGAGATTATTCTACCCGCGTTTGCCGTCCTGCTCTGGTTTCCCACTGCCACGTTTACTCCAGGAACAGGCAACAAGGAGACAGAAGTGGCAT